AGACCCCGGGCCGGGATTCGAACCTGCAACCTTCTTGCTGCACCACTGAGCAGCCCCATAGTTTCATATGAAGTGAAATTAAATATCTGAGAGAAATTATGATGTAGTCTGGCTTCAGTTCCTCAACTCAGTCACCATCGCTGTCACCAATTTCCCCCATTTCTAAAAAATGCAGACCTAAAATTATAATTTTTTTATATAGATCATAAGCTTTGTATGGAAGTTGGCATACCGAAGTTTCAGGCCCTGTTTTCTGCATAGGCAAAGTTTATAAAGGAGTCTTCAGGTTAGTTTTTATAGTGCCTCTAAAAATAAAACCGAAGAAGTGAAACAGGGTTGTTGTAAAAGTGACAGGAACCGGGAACCCGATTGTGAAAGAAAAAGGCTTGTTTGTTGGGAAGGAGAGCTATAGTTGGAGGAACATTATTGGGATGATGAGGAGGAGAAGAAGATGAAAAATAAATAAGCTAAGGGAGCAGCGCGAGGGAAAGAAAACAGGACACAGACGGAAAAAGGAGGAACTGCATTATTTGTAATTGTCTCAGCATTGTGTACACTTTGAATGCCTGGGTGGAACCCAGTGTTTAGTACAAATATTTAACACTGTGTTGACCCGTGGCAGGAAATCTGTGCCGTTCGGTGGAACCTTTCATCCATAGATCCCTACCAGTAGCACTAACCCCTCACCCCCCATGGTGAGTGACCTTCTCCTTACACTGAACTGCTTTGTGTGTTTTGGCTGACATTATGTTTTTAATAAAAGAGATTAAAATGCTTTACCATAGAAAAGTACGCTGACATTTAGTCACCCTGCAAACTTTAACTCATTAACTCCTGAGAACAACTGAGGCTTTAATAAGGAAGTGTGCCTTTTTTTACATACGTAGCGTGTTTGGTCTACTGTAATGTTGATGAGGAGGAGATGCTGGAGGTTAATGATTGTCTCAGGGGATATTTTGACTTCGGTTATTAAGACATTCTTGCTTTGTGTTTGTTCACGATGATGTGGCTATTCTGTGTGTCTGGTTTCCACTGCTGAGGTTTACCTCAAAGAAAAGAAAAACTGAACTTCAGTTTGTGACACGAGCCTAAGGAGCCAGGAAACCTGTTTCTTTGTGTGCCAAAACTGAAAGAACAACAATAAAATGCCAAATATGCCAATTCCAAAAATTTTTGTTTAAACGGAAATACCTATATTTTCCTATATTTTGAGGCGACAAGGCAGCTTTATTGCAACATTGCAAGGGTATTTGTATTCCATTGCACCCTTTCCGATTTTATAGTGTTAAAACAACAAAGTTCGCACTATTAAATAGGATTATAATAAAAAATTACAATTGTACTGCATAGCTGCAAAATGGAAGAAAAAACAAGAATAGCTTTTAATTTTAATACAAAAATCTGGAAGTTGTGACATTTCTTTCCTTAAGCCTTTAGTCAATTTTTTGACATCCCTGCCTCTCCCCAAATAAAAAAAAGAGCATCCCTAAAGCCCAGCATTATGCTGCCACCATCGTACATCAAAGTTGGAATGGTAGATATGGTCTAGTTGCACAGCATTAGTTCTTCACCACAAATAATATTTTAAATATTGACAAAAAGTCCTACTTCTTTTTTTTTAAATCCAGCTCAAGCCTCTTCAAGGATAAATAATCTTTATTGTTGTAATGAAACCACAACATTTAGCAAAAACTCCTTATGTTGCATCCATGGTGAACAATTTTGAGTATCCAACTCCTCATCTTTGCCGCTTTTCAGACGGTCGCTGAGACATACATCTGATGCATGTTGCGGGTATTGCACAATATCCTGTGACCTATCATATATTGTAAGTTAAGGGTGCTACTTATATTTCATCACAGACTTCTTTTGGTGTAGTTATTTGTATTTTTTACTTTAGGTTAAGGTAGAAATCCTATGATTTTAGGGTTTATAGACAGAAGACTGTGAGGAGAATCCATGACAGCTTGATTCACTAAATATGAATATGGCGCAACGCCTGTTTCTTGTGTACAATGGCAAGTGAAATGAAAAGGGTGACTTTCCTTTGTTTACTGTGTTAATTGGAGAGAAAAGTAGTTTTAAGATGTTCTTAAGCAATAAAGTAAACCTTAAAACTTCATCTCTGCAGTCAGTTTATCAAGATTATGATCCTGTTTTAAATATTCTGCAGTTGGATGAGTGGCAGATGCCAACATACTGCCAGGATGTCATGCTAAGAATCACCAGTTACAGCTCCTTCATGCCAGCGTAGGTACCAGATCTGCTTGGGCGGTCAAATCTGCTCAATGCCCTGCCCTGGCAAATCCCTTGGGTATTTCCCATTTGCTGTTTATGGTCGCTGGAAGTATATAGAGCTTTTTTTTTTAAGTATGTGGTAAAAACTATTCCGGAATATAAAGTCAGAGATTTTTTGACCTTTTGAGTTCATGTAGGTGCTAATTATAAACATCTTCGCCACCTTCCAGAAAGAAAATATTTATCAAGCTGCAAAAGTTCAGATTTTCCTATTCCTGTGTCTGACAGTTTGGACATGCTTCCTGGCAACGCTTGAAAACTTATAACGCTACGAAATCTGTAACACCAGACTGTCAAAACGTGCCGCAGGACCTCTCGACACCCTTGATGCGTGTCCAATGTAGACTTGAATGTAAACCGGATGCGCCTGATGCTATAACTGTTATAGATCTTAACTCACAGACAGAAATTAGAGATTTAAAGATATAAAGCCACTTCAAAAGAAAAAATGAATACGAGAAAAAATAGAAATAAAAAAGTCAGAATGTGGACATAGAAATGTAGTGTTTAGTGTGCACATAATGTGCAGCCGGTGTCAGTCCAGTCTATAAGATAGGCAGCTGCTCTGTTTGATGGTCAGGTGGGTTGTTGTATATGTGTAAAGGTGGAAGTGTTTGGCTGGAGGGGGGCAGTGTGTATGTGTGGAACATTTCACTCGTATAGTGTCTGACTTAATGTGGGTGATGGGTAATGCCTTGGATTGATGCTGCTGTACTGTTTTCTGGATGGAAATGGGACAAACAGCACATCAGCCGTGTGGGTGGGATTTGTGGCATTTCCACCGACTTTGGATCTGGCAGATTCTCTTGTCTATGTTCACCACCTGGCCTATCTCCTTCCATGTAGACATTTGGAAGCAGTTTAGAAGTGAGTCCTGTCCACCTCAACTAATGAGAAAGAATAGCCGTTACTGGGACTTCTTAGTCAGACAGAAAATGTTTTAAATCCAGAGGAAGGTCAGAGGAAATGTGAATGGGCAGAGACTTTATGCTGTCTGCATTCTAGGTTGGAGTGTGTTTAGCAGTAAAGTTAGAGGAGCATCTACCGCCATGTTTACTCTGTCCTTCATATGGATTATGGCTAACTGCAAACAGATCCTCTTATGACTTTCTATCAAATCTGGCTTCTTTTGCTTCTATTTCAGAGTTTTAAAACAAAACCCTAATATAACATTTACTGATTAAGAGCATTCTTAAAGTCACTGTTTGTACTTGATTTTATGAGGAATGAACAGAGAAAAGTCAGACTGATAAATGCAAATTAGGTGAGTGTTGGCCTAGTGGTTAGAGCAGTGCGCTTGTGCTCTGAGAAGGTTGCAAGTACCTGGTTCACTCCCCACAGCCTCCGCCCTGGGTTCCTGATCAAAACCCTTAACCTCACACTGCTGCTCTCCGGGCACCGCACAGTGGCAGCCCACTGCTCCCCAAGAGGATGGGTTAAATGCAGAGAGTAAGTTTCCCCATTGTGGGACAATAAAGGGATTTACATTTTCAAATATATGTCATACAATTCTGATTTTTATTTTATTTGGATGGTGCTGGTCTATCACACCATGACAGTTACAATGTGGCAAAATGTATTTCCCTCGTCAATTCTGAAAGTTAGGGCATCAATTTGTTTTCTGCTCTCTTGGGTTTCATTAAATACATGATAAAACCACCTTTTGTTATCCTTTTTCTGCTCTTCCAGTATGATGATGCCACCACCTTTTTTTCCTTGGTTTGGGCTGGATGTTGTGTAAATTAGTAATTTATCTTCACACATACCTATAAAATAAATGGTGGTTATATTGAGACATAAATCCATGTAAGACACTTAAAAGACAGAAATCTGTTCCAAATAAACAGAATGGATGTAATAGTGTTGTTTTCCCAGCATATATTGCAGTTTTGCATTTGGGGTTAACAGATATGTTTCAGGCAGCAGGAATGGAAAGGATGAGGCATGAATGCAGTGGGATTGATGGGAGAACTGCTAAAGCTTTCACTCACAGGCTCCAGAATGACGTAGCGCTTCTTGAATTCCTGAGTTATTACTTAAAGATGTCTGCTTGTCGTTTCCTCTCTTGCTTTCATGAACACAGTGCCTATCAAACTGGGTAAAACTTGTTGGAAAATAACGAAAATTCTGGTCAGTTCATTAAAAAAGATTCAAAGCGACATCTTTCACTGCTGATTGTGTTTTATTCTATTATGGGGAGCACAAACCAGGCAAACAGGATTGTGATTTATGGATATGAGATGTGAGGGCAGCCAAATATGAAAAGCACATTGGATTATTGAATTACTCCTTCAAAATATTCCCTTAGATGTCTGAAGATTTAGAGTGATGGAATCCAGTCAGGCCTGAGTTCTTGTGGAAAAGGAGCGGGTCAGAAGAGACTTTCTGTCTGAGCGAACGCAAACACACAAACACACACACTCCCACTAAACACACACACTGTTCCACTTTCAGGGAAGCTAGTAGGAAAGCCACCGGAGAAATTTACGGAGGAAGTGAGACGTAATCTATGAATTATATATACGCACTGAGACTGTGATTTCATTCAGGGGAAAGCCCATTCACTATCCTGCCCTCCCCTCCCTCTCTTTCTTCCACTTCTGATTGGTCCTTACCGTTTTCCCTCACTGGTAAAAGTTAACATGGACAACTTTAAGAATTCCTACCATTTTAATGTCTGTTTCATTTGTGTGTCGTCACAGGTGGAGGTGGGAAACGGAAAGGCAGGAGCAAAAAATGGAAGGAGATCCTTCGCTTTCCCCACATAAGCCAGTGTGCCGAACTGGGAAAAACCATCGGTACGTTTTTCTGCCTTCTTTTCATCTGAAGAGGGCGTAATTAAGTGTTAGGTTATAAGTTTATTTGCTTTTTTTTAATCTTTCCAGACAGGGATTATTCCAGCATCTGTGACAAGCAGCCCATTGGACGGCTTCTGTTTCGTCTTTACTGTGAGACCAAACCCAACTTGCAAAGATGCATCCAGCTGCTTGATGCAACGGTACACCTATACACACATTCAGAGTCGCAATTGACTTTTTAATTTTTTTTTTTAAAGCAATTGTGCCATCCTTTGACATAACAGGGCCCTGGGTTAAAAAAAAAATAAAAATAAACACAGTATTCAAATAAAAGAAACATAGTGTCCAGGTTAAAAAGCATTATACATTGCATTTATTTCAGAGGTTATGATATTTCTCAAGCTGAAAAACCCCCCAGTATAAACAGAATGAAGGGCTCAAAGTTATTCAGATAATTCATTTTTAAAACGGAAACATTTGGGTCAGGTTTGACCACTCTGAACATTAAAGATTATGATGTAGAGTTGTGTAATTTTTACTTCATATTCTGTCAAAATTGAAGTAATAGATGTGGAAAACTGCATATAAGACTGCAAAGCAGATCTTTTGCTACTGTTTGGCCAAAATCTCTTCTGTCTATGGACAAAACTGGATATGTTTTAGTAAAACTGGAAACACAGCTTCAGGTTATCTTCTGGTTCACGTTTTTATTTCTTCAAGATAAAAATTATTTTGGTCTCAAATAAAAACATCATATGCTTTTTTTATTGTTTCCATTGTTATATGATTTAGATGAATAACATTTTAATACTGGTTTTGTTCTGTCAGTTAGTCCTTTCTCAATTTTTTATGAATGTTAATTGAAAACAAAATAAAACTATTTTAGTTTAAAAAACAAAAAAAAAGTTTTTGTAGCAGTCCAGAAGGTTGTGGTATAATTTTGGTTTTGTTGCTTTATCAGTCTTATTATTACGCATGGTAGTAACTCAGTAACATCGGCTGGTTTCTTGGCACAGATCCTACTTTAAAGAGTACTGCATACATTTCAAAACATTTTTTGATGCACATTTGAGACAAATTTCCTGTTGACCTTCCAATTTTCTCCAGGTTTCTATTGTCCAGTCGTTGATTTTAGAAACACGATTTGAGGAATTTAGACGAGGTCTTATTCCTTTAATATTTGATCAGCTTTGAGTGTTTGATCTGTACTACAAAAAAACAGACCCTAAGAACTATGCTACCAGACAATTTGTGCTTCAAGTCAGAGCTTTACAAGCAATCTATTTTCCCCATGAATATTAAAGACATAAATCTTAACTTAAATGCTATAATTACTTCTGTATTCCAAAAAAGTAAAAAAAAAAACAAAAAAACAATCCACTGTCCTTTGTTTCCAAGTTTGAAGACGTTTCGCTTCCCATTCAGGAAGCGTTTTCAATTCAAAATGTCAGGAACAGCGTTGAGTTCGAGGTTTTATACAGTAGCCCATCAGAGCCTTGATATCTTCAAACTTGGAAACAAAGTCCAGTGAATTGTTTTTTTTTTTTTACTTTTTATGAATGACTATGACCTGGATGACTGATAACCTTCACAACACAAATTACTTCAGTAGTTTTTATGATTATAAGCACTCCTATGTCCATTTGGAGGGTGTCAATTTGAGTTGATCTCTTTGCTTTAGAGCTCATGAGCAAACTACTAGACTCAGCTTCCATTCAGTAAATTGTGAAAAATTGGGAATGGATGAAATGCCCAAAGATGCTCATGGTTTCCCATTCTGTTATTTCTTCAAATGTCAGCAGCAAATTAGAATTTTACTCAGACTCAGAATAAAACATTTTTATATTTAATGATCCAGGGTCCCTGTGCAGGCAAATTTTTTAATTTCATGGAAATATATATATATTTTTCAGATTTTATTTCTTTTCCCTAATGTCCTTCTTTATTCATTTTCCTCCTTGCTTTACTTCTTCTGTTCATCCTCAGTTCATTTCTTGTTTCCTTCCCTTTTTTCCCTTCTTTGTGTCCTTTCTTGTGCTCTAATTGCTCCTCATTGTCTTGAGGTAAAGTCATGTGTAAAGTCACCTCACTGTTAAAATATTTCTCATAAAGTCATGGCGAATTTATTAAAATAATTGAGAGTTTGGAACAGTATAAGATTTAAATGTAAAGATTTGGAGGATTTGGCAAACGCTGTTTATGACGGACACCTTTCTGCATCAGTATGTCTCAAAGTGGTGTTTGCTTTCATGGAGGGACGGAGGGGAGCAACATGGTGTTCGTGATGCAAGCGAGACCCCCCCACCCCCTAATAGATGGGCCTTTTCCAGCATGGCTCCGCGTTGCCTGGCAATCCCACAGTAAACACAGTGGGATTCCTTGAGGTCCTGGAGTGTCACAGTGTGTCACACCAGCGTCACCAGATTTCCACTACAAAACACACACAGAGAGTCATGCACGCACACGAAACCCAAGAGCTTGAGTGGAAAATCGATTGAAAAACCAAACAGTAACTGAAAAATAGTTTTTGAAAAAATGATTGAAATGCAAAGAATAGTGATTGTTAACAGTGTTTGTTATCAGTAGTTCCACTGATATCATACACACACTGAGATATCCTGACAAACGCACAAGCCAATGGAGTCTGACCCCCCCACCAGCAACGGGTGGGGGGTCAGCCAAAGGGGAAAGGAGACGTCCCTTTTGCTCTTTGGAAGCAGTGGGGATCCAGCACATAAAATACACACATTCGCCCCCCTGTGATGCAGCAGGATTTTCTGGAAGCGCCCAAGTGCATTCCCTCCTCTGTTCCAAGAACTCTTAAAAACACCATATTTCTCTTGAAATTGAACATTCAGGCTTTCTCCTCCTCATTTTCGTCTCCCTTTAACTGCCAACTTGTTTCTAAAATGTTTTAAAAAGCACGGCATCTAGATTGCGTAACATGTCAAGCAAAGCTCATAACTGCACACGGCTCACAGGAGTGTTATCCAATCACTCCGTATACACGGATCCGCTCTGCCGTAACCACACTCAGACCTGGCTTATTGAGTGCCGCAAATAATGCCCAACAAAGAGCGCAGCGTCAGAGTTGGTCACATGGGCTGGGAGAGGAATTAGCTTCTGCGTGTGTTTGAAATAAATGTGTGTAAGTGGTTTCCCACTCGCAGAGGTGGTCGCTTATAGGAGTGGGTGTTTAAAAGAAGGCAGAGTAAGGGAGGGCGAGGGTTGTTCTGGGAAACAATGCTGTCCTTTCTGTCCTGTCACATGCCCCACAAAGATATTCAGGGTGTTGATAGATAAAGACTTAAATGTGTCATGTGGGAAGTATTTAGTCTAGACGCAGAGTAAGAAGTGGGGAGGGGGCAATCGGGGTAAACGACCAAGAAATCTGCCTGTTTAAGTAATCAGAGCTCTACATTGCTATCTGAACAGGTCACTGAAATGGTGCTTAAATGACTGACATGTAGCTCAGCTTTTATTCATTAGGGTTGACCTTTGCTGACCTTTACAGAGATGTTCACAAGCAGTTTAGATAAAAAGTGGTTTACACCTCAAACCAAACATTTTTGGTTTCAATTAACAGCTATAATTTGAATTAAAACAAGTTGCTTATTTTCAACTTTTTTAGGTGTTAAAATATAAACTTGTTTCCAAGTTTACATATAACAAGTTATTGATTTTACATGTCTGCAAGTACTAAATCAAAACAAAAGACAGATTATGTAACATCATACGATGTATCATACAATGACTGCTGGAGATAGGAACCAGCACCTGTATGATTAAAACGGCTTAAGATTAGGGCTGCAACTGATGTTCATTTTGCTAATCGATTAATCTGTCGATAATTTTGCTGATTATTATTCTGCCTATATATCGTGACTTTCGGGTGCCCAATATAATATTTTATATATATATATATATATATTTTTTTTTTCAGTTCCTAGTATTGATTTTTTTTTTTAAAAACAAAAGATTTTCACCTAATAAAATGAGGGGGAAAGGGCTACTTCTTCACCTCCACTCTGGCAGATTGAACTGACTCAAACTCCAAACAACATGGATGCCAAAATAACTAGATTATATATATCTTCTGACGAATATATACAGCACATTCTTTTTTATCTATACATTTAATTTTGAAAGGTGGGAAAAATATCTCAATATATTGTGATTATTGCAATATCGTGATAATATCATATCGTGACTCAAGTATTGTGACACATATCGTATCGAAACACCCATGCTAATACTTACCAAATGGATAGCAAAACTTGCTTAAAGAAGATTCCTTACAAGGGAAATTTAAAGTTTCCCACTTAAGGAGCATTTTTTTTAAATCTTAAATGCAAAATGTTTATACATTTTTTTTTACAATTTTGTTTAATAACTGCTCTGGTTGTGTTTCTCTGTCAGCTTTAGGCTTGGTTTAGAGTCTGTATACTCCAGTTAACGATTAATCAAGTACTAAATCAGTTGACAATTATTTCAATAATTGATTAATCATGATTGTCTTTGCCTTAGTTAAGATAATGGTTGAATTTTCAATAGAAAAGCAGCTCTAACTCACATATAAAAAAACTCAAATCTTTATTTTATGCATACTTGAGACATAAAGCTTGCTAAGCTTAGCATTGCTGACTGTAAAGAAAGATACTGGGCTGCATTTAACATTAGCATTTCATTTCTTATACGACTATGCGTCAGGTTGCTATCCATGATAGCATATGCTGATCTATATAGTTTTTAGTTTTTTGCAGCTCATTTTGTTTTGGGTTTTTTTCACTCTAGATTAACGTTTTAGTTTGGAAAATATACAAAACTGATATGTGAGTGGGCCAATAAATGTCCAAAATGTTATCAAGGTTAAGTTGTAAAACTGGTTTCTTAATTTTAACAACTGAAAGATTTCAACAAATATGAAAAACAGATATAGAAGTTATATTCTAAAAAGAAAAATAGGTCTTTACAACACTGAGGAGTTATAAAAACTGTCATTTTATGCTATCTGTAGATTTTCCATTTTTTTGTTTAACAATGTACATTACTCCCAGTTCTGGTGGATGTAACATTATTGTCTGCGTATGCTGTTGATTTAAAACAGCATATACGTTTGCCAATAGAATAGAAACATTTATTATTAGGAAGCTTTTGCAGATCTGTTTATTCAAATAGTAAATATTAACAACTAATTTTTTCTTAAAGCACTGCAAGACACAGATCCATTTCACATATTAGCAGCGCATTTCAGCACAATCCATGGATTAATGCAGTTTCCTATCCAGTTAACCCAAATTTTGTCGTATTTCTAAAGGAAGTGCTGTTATATCTAACATTTTTGGCACCATTATTTAATTCCTGACTGTCAACATATTCATCCAGTCATGGAAATATTCTTCGCTTTGTCAATCATTGACATTTTAAAGAAAATTCCTTGAATAGCTTATTTGTGTCCCTATGGCTCTAAGTCTTGTAATTTTCTCTAATCTTTGCCTCAGTGCTTGATTTAAGTTAAAAACCTCATATTGAATTAGATTTTATTTTATCTGTTGGATTCTGAGTGCTGCCTAATGGGTTTCCTGTCTGCTAAACCTGACATGACAAGTAACCATGCCGACAGGAACGCTGTTTACAAGCAGAAGCAGCTGACTGAACTTTCCAAAGTTCAACAAATGTTCAAAATAGGACTGCCAGATCCCTGATGAGTTGAGGAGGAAACATTATGGATATGAAGCAACTCCAGAAGGGAGAGTGTGGAGGAGAAAGTTTGTTTCCTTCATCATTATGAGAAATATGAGATCTCTGGTGCATAGAATAGACTAAGAGCAAAACACTGATAAGTACTTAATGGCAATAAAGGTCCCGACATACTACTCTGTCTCGGAGCCTGTCTGACAACAAATGCAGCTTTATACTTTGCAGAGGAATGGCTGCCGGAAGATATTTCAAATCTCATAAGCTTTCGACTGCATGACGGACATCAAACACAGCTTATGAAGTGTTGCAGCTCTTCTCCAGAACAGTCCTTCCCATCCCATGACAAACTCCCTACAAATAAATGTCTCTTTGATCAGTAATTGAAGGAGGTGTAACAAAATTGCGTGATATTAAAATGTTATGTTATTTATTGTCATAAAGTTTCTCTTTCAATTAAAGCAATTATTTTAAATGTCAAGTGGTGAGGGCCTAGAGCTTTACACACTGCATTTGGAGACCTTTATTTTGAAGTTGAACTGGAACTATTCCTGGGTTCTTACTGTAGAGATCGTCAGGCTCGGACAAGGAACGATTTTCGGCCCTGGCGTTTTTACATCTACACCGGCCCACTTACCAAAAAAAATAATAAAAACTAGAAGCACAGACACACATGTGCGTCTCAAATGTGAAACACAATACGAATACACATTGTGGATTAAATGATCTATCTTCAAGCATCACAAAGACTTCTATAATGCAGTTTTACTGGCTTTGGTTGTTAACACAGATGCTACAGGGACTGCTGCTGCGTAACGTCCACAGTTGCACGCTTTTTGTCCCGAATCTTCTCCGCTCCCCATTTCTTCTTTTTGCCAACCCTTTCCATTATTTTTAGCCCATCCACTGAAATGAAAATATAACCGAAGCAACATCCACAGCATCCGTATTCCCATGGAGCAGTGCCACTCACCACATCAACAGGGTTGCCAGATGTCACTGACTCATGTTTTCCAGCCCAAAAAAATTTCATAAACCGCCTGAATATACGAAATCTCGCCCAATTTGAAGCAAAGTCTATTGATCTCTTAGGCCATAAATTTAAAGAAAAACAATTTTTAACCATAGACAGCCATCCTAAACTGCCAGATTGGGAAACATCCCAACCTGGCAACAATGCATGTAAGACGGGAAACGTTAGCCTTTAGATGCAAAACCCCATCATGCACCGCAACTTAGTTTGGTTTAAAGAAAGCATTTTAGTTTTATTATATTTTAGTATAATTTAGTTTGTTGCAAGGATTTTACAGTTTAGAAATAGAAATAGAAGATAGAAGAAGGTGGAATAGAAGAAATAGAAAATTAGACCATATGCCAAACATCACAAGAATGTGCATGACGAGGAAGGGCGATATATATTGCATGCATCATTTAGGTAGTTAGCATTTTATTACTTCTTGAGCTCCTTCTGTTACATTCACAGGTAGGTGCTTTGGCTGGTATGATTGGGGCCGGTATGATTTAAGGAGGACCGGCCCTCGCACGCTGAAATTAGGACCTGGCCACCAGGCACCTGGCATCACAGATCCTAGCCTGGATCCAAGCCCAAGTCCAAGTCTGGACATCATGCTGGACAGCCATTAACACCTGGTCACATTGCAATGATAGTTGTGGTACCAATAGTAAAGAGGACCCTGATCTAAGGATCTGTGTTGGAGATTTTTTTCCTTTCAGAAAGTTAATTATTAATTCTTTTTAACTGCCTTCACTGTTGTTGGTTGGAAGGTTCTAATGGTTAGGTTAGCTTCAAGTTCTGTTGATTGAATCCTGCAGACTGCAACTCAGGGTGCTTGAGCAAAAACCCTGAGCCCCCAGAATGCTTGCTGATGGGATTGGTGAAATGAACAGGAAAGATTTTACTGAATCATGCAAAGTTGTGTTGAAAACGAAAGATTGTTTTTATCAAAAATTAGATAAAATGAACCCTCCTCTGGAGAGCTTAGTAGAAATCTTCCCCATGCTGGCTGTAGCTTTAAGATTGCATTTAATGAATTTTACCTATGATGATGAAGTACTCTTGCCTCAGAAACATCCAGCCTTTTCCTAAAGCCTGGTGTGTCAACCAGACTGTTGATCAATCTGGGTATGAGAAGTTTTATAGGGTACCATCATAAAGGTATTCCATACCAGAAATTAGTTCAATCATTCCAACGTTTGGTCTCTTAGTTTTCTTCACATTTTTAAAAGTATTTTATTTTGACCTTAACCCTTTAAAGCCAAGTACATATATCAAGTTTTTGGTATCTTTGCATCATCAGTGTGATATTTTTAGCTGCTTAAAACCCTGACACACAATCAGACACAGAACAGAAAACGTATAAAAGATTATACACAAAATTTATGCAAATAAATGATCTAATTTACCTTATAAAAAATATTTGTTTTTTTATTTCAGTTATCAGAAAGTTCAATGAAAAAAATGTAATTTTCTGTCAATTATTTATTTGTCAAGGCTTTGAAAGGTTAAGGCAAATTAAACTCTCATTTTCTAAACTCTGCTGTTTGTAAAGATGCTCTGTTTACTGTACTTGTTTATATATATTTTTCCAAACAACCCTTTGAATGCACTGATTATTAAAAATACAGATTTTGTGACACTGTAATATTAATATATTGTGATTATATAATAAGGTTTTAGAGACTATATCACATATGTTTAACTTAAATAAATGTTTTCTTTATTTTTCCTATGGGTCCAGTATTAACTGCATACATTGCAGCGCCAGGACTGCAGCTAGGTGCTTTTGCTGGAATTGGCTTTTAAAGGTTGATATAGAAGACATCAAGCATGATGTCTTCATTATGTTGGAGTAATATCCCTTTTATGAGAGATGCCACTGAAACTTTACTACAGATCAATCTATGGCAGTGCTTAAGAAATTCAACAGACATGTTGTTTTTTATTAAGTGGCAAATTGTTTGTTTAATTAAAATAATTCCAATATCAAAGTGTAGTGCAAGTTATATTATTCTGGGGTTTTTTTTGTTCTTTTTTTAGGAAGACTATGAGGTTACGTCTGATGAAAAACGAAAAAGCAGAGGGGAGCAGATCATCAAGACCTTTCTTTCAAAACAAGTAAGCTTCCTTAACTGGTATTTTCACACCTGTTATTAACTGCCGAGGTAAATGTTCACACTACCGTAAAAGTGAAACTCAACATTTGACACATTGATGTGGCAATCTTAAGAATAATCTTGATGCAACAATGACACGAGCCACAAAGAAAATTGACAAAGGTGCAAATATTTAACATGCTTATGAAGTCTGAGAGAAATCTATACTTAACATACAGGAATATGTGCCTTGTATTTTCTGCTTATCTTGAAGTGGTGCATACGTTAGGAGGTGATGGATTTGTGAGTGTGTGTGCATACTTGTGACTGTGTGTGTTTACTTGTGTTGATGCAGTCACCTCAGCGGGTAGACATAGCGGAGGGTTTTGCAGAGCAATGCAGAGAGAACCTCGAGTTCAGTCCATGTAAGGAGATCTTCGGCGACTGCCGCAAGTGAGTCGCCATTCATTCCGCCTCTTATCTCACATTTTTCTCACTGAATTTTGTCACATCACCAGATGTAAGATTCTGGGATTTTTATTTTTTTTTTGGTCCTTTTTAATCGATTTTGTATGTTTGTTGCACCAGGGCCGTCCATGAGTACCTGAGTGGAGCGCCATTTTCAGACTATCAGAACAGCATGTATTTTGACCGCTTCCTACAGTGGAAGGTGCTGGAGAGGTTTGTTGTGTTGTTTTTGTTTTTTTCTTTTTTTTAATGAAAAATAAAATGAAACCACTGAAAAGCTGTGATAATGAAGTTGTTGCAACTACCTACTTAAGGTCATATTCTGGCTGTATATTGCATTGCATTTTTTTTTTTTTTCTAAAATAATTGCAATATTTCGAAAAACAATGGGGGGAAATGCACAAATTTACACTGCATCCAACAACCCATTACATTTTTCGATAAAATGATAAAGCCTTGAAATCACCTTGCAACAGTATAATGCCACACTAAGAAATTTAGAGAAATCCATAATGATTCATTTTTACCATCCATAATCTAGTATAGTCGGTGGAAGTAGTTGAGGTGAGGAAGGTGGAGGAGTTGTGATGCTGTCGGCCAATTTATTCCCTAGGATCCTGACCACTGTATTGTAATTTATAACATCATGGAGTCTTTAGAATACTGGGACAAACCTGGTAGCTTCAATCTACTGGGACTTTTAGAAAGTATCAACAACAGCTGTACCAATTATTGCTGCACATATGAATTTGTTGAAATAACTCGACTAAATGCTTAGTTACACTTAGAAGAAATATTCAGACAAATTGTTAAGTTTCACTTTTCTGTGTTGCTTTTTGATGTTCTGCTCAATTTTGTCAACATTGTAGTTCCTACATGTATGGATCTATAAATTACACAGATGGGATGAAACTCACCGTTGTGGAAATTGGTCACAGAGTCTGTGCAAAGTATTCATTGAATTTCTCCTATTAGCCAAAAATAGTTAAAAACAAAAAATAACTTGTAAACTGTGTTAACTTTCTTCTATGGTTGTCAGGATCTGCAAATTAGGTTTTAATTTGTATCCTTTATGCTTGCCATATTCTTTTTTCTTTCTTTTCACTCGTCTCTCAGTCGCAGCCTTCTGTTAATCAGTAGTTTCTCTCATCCATGTCTCTTATTTTCCTATTGTTTGCACCAGTTTTTCTGCACTGCTTAAGCCTTTGGTTTTAAAGGCACCTACTGCAGAGGCTAGGCACTAGTATTTATTCAGTCCATACAATGAAGTGTGTTACTTTGGAAGACGTTTTAAATATTTGTGTTAAATTCTTTTATTTTCAAAAAAAATTTTTTTATTTGTACTATTAATCCTTCCTTTTTTACATAAATGACTCCTGGCTGCTGTATGTAGGGATGTTTGAACACTGCTTTTTGGTTTTTCTTTGATAATATATATTTTTGCCAACAAGATTCTGTCAAACACAAAAAGAAATTCACATTTTGGAAAAGACTAAAAACCTAAGGGCCTTCAGTTTATCCCCTCACACCCCCACCATGGACTGTTCTCCCTGCTGCCCTCTTTGAGAAGAGGCTTCGCAGCATTTAATGCAGGTCCAGCAGATTCCGCAACAGTTTCTTCCCCATCAGAATGTTGAAATGTTGAGAAAACTCTAAATCATGTCACAAACTCTGCATCATACTGATAACACCAAACCGAAAATACTGCATATTTGCACCATTAATGCTCTGTAATTCCATATAAGTGTGTTTGATGCACCATATTTTTTCTCCCAAACGGTTTACAATCGATCACTGCTGCACTTTATAGAATGTAAATGTTAATTGCTGTCTGAAAGCAGTACTTAATGAAATTTAGTTTAGTATATAATAAAAGTTTTCTAAGTCACCTGTGGGTTAAGCCCAGTCCTAACATTGGTCTATAGAAACCTAAACCTAAAGTCAGTGGTTTTAGTATGTTTTCATTAAATAGACCAACGGATTACCTTCCAGCAATGGGTATAAAAATGTCTGCCCTCTGCTCCTGCACTAAAGTACTCTTTTGGTTTTGCAGTCAGTATTCCTCTGGTTCTCAGTCAATCTCTATGTCCCAACGCTTGTCGCATTAGCTCAATACAGCTGAATCTACCGGGCAGTTTAATCCAACAAATATTAAACTAAATGTATTATTTAGCAGTAAGCTATTTAAACAAAGCTTTCTTAAGCTGTTTAAACAGCTTTAAAACAGTCATTTTCTGTCCTGTGTATCTACTCTGGAAAGTCCCAAAGTATTGGCATGCTTCTAGTCTTTTCCACAAGCACATTTCTTTACTCACCAGTTTTATTTAAAATCTTCTGTTATTTCAAAGAGTTTTGGGAGCTGTGAACTCTTAAGGCTCTCAGGAGAAGTGAGCCCACAGCATCACTAATCCTCCTTCTATATTTACTTACTTGTAGATGGATGTGCCTTAGAGACTATTGTACATCTTGACCAGGGGTTCCATAATTTGAATGCTATTTATATTTGAAAAATAATGTCCTAAAATAAAACCAAGACCACAAATATTTTGTTGCTAATTCAGATCTTAGTGTTTTAGGTTTTCATGTTGATTTAGAGCCATATTTTGAGTATCCTGATTTTTTAAAGTTAAATACATATATTAAACATCTGTTCTGAACATGTCAGAGAAGGCCATTTATGATGATCTTTGGGGTGCAATCTTAATTTAACCCTTTAAAGCCCGATCCAAGAATAAAACAAAACAGAAAATTACTTTTTTTTGGTTTGAAGTCCTTATTTGGCCTTTTAACAAAATATGTAAAAAGAAAAAACAGAAATACATTTTTGATATTAATAATTTATTACTATGCGATAAGTCAAGTTTATGTTTTGTGTAGTCTTCTACTGGCTGTTATCAGGTATATCTGATTGTGTACAATAGGATTTTGAGCAAAGTTTTTACCATTAAATTATGCAAAAGGTGTCAGACGCAAAACATTTCAGAAACTGTATGTATCAAATATGATACATTTGGCATTATAGGGTTAAACATATATATATTCTCCAGGATAGAAAATGTTTTTTGCAAAACACATATCGAGGTCAGTTTAAAGTAGACAGCAGGCTTTCAAGGCAGCATTGATCGTATCTGTGTCTGGAAAGTGAAATTAGGCACAAGAAGCTCCACCCTTTGTACAGGAAACAGAGTCAGGATGGTATTGAGTTCTGCAGATAATATCTCAGCCCTGATCAATACCATATGACCATTTATTAATGGATTTTGCTGTATCTGTGTTCTATCAGGCAACCAATCACTAAAGACACATTCAGACAGTACCGAGTGCTAGGAAAGGGGGGATTTGGAGAGGTAAGAGGATCAGTTTGGTGCTGGATCTAAAATATAAGGATTTTGCTGCAACACACAGAATGTACTCTTGTTCTTCTTCCCAGGTGTGCGCATGCCAGGTCAGAGCAACAGGGAAAATGTATGCCTGCAAGAAACTAGAGAAGAAGAGAATCAAGAAGAGGAAAGGAGAATCCATGGCCCTGAACGAGAAACAGATTTTGGAGAAAGTCAACAGTCGGTTTGTTGTGAGTAATAATACATTTCTTAATGCATATATTTTGGATTTTATCTTTGAATATGTTCTAGCGCAGTTATTTCAAACTATATTACGCGTTTCTGAATTTCCATAGGTGAGTTTGGCGTATGCGTACGAGACCAAAGACGCTCTTTGTTTGGTGCTGACCATCATGAACGGTGGCGACCTGAAGTTCCACATCTACAACATGGGCACGCCGGGCTTCGACAAAGACAGGGTCCAGTTTTACGCCGCTCAGATCTGCTGCGGACTCGAGCATTTGCACAGGGAATCCATTGTCTACAGGTATTAAACGCAGAAAAAGAGACGTGTTCATTGAACATTATTATTCCTCTTGTCGTGTGTGGCATAAAAAAATCTATTTATTACATTCTTTGTGACTTTTAGGGATTTGAAACCAGAAAACATCTTACTAGATGATAATGGTAAGTTTTGTTTAATACATTTGAGGTCATAATATAAAAGTCTTTGTATAACATATGCTAACTATGGGAATAAATGTTTAATCGATTTTGGGGTCTTTGGGGATGCATCCCAAAAAAACACACAAGTTTGAATTTATGTAAAGTTATGATCACGTCTAGATTTTAAAAATCATGTGCAATATGTGCAATATATTCATGCATGGACATTTTGTTTCTGTAAAATCATTCCACCTGAGAAAACAAAGGATGAGTAAGAGCCCCAAATTAATATGAAATTCATGCTGCTGATAAGTGTGAAAGCTGTTTACCACACTGATATCTAATAATGAGCACAGATCTACTTTCCATGTATTTGTTTTAAGAGCAAGTATATTTATGGGCTGTTTATCCACATTACTAGCGGATGTACCTCCTGTTTCACTGCAGGACACATTCGGATTTCAGATCTGGGGCTGGCCATCAAAGTGCCTGAAGGAGAGTTCATCAGAGGAAGGGTGGGGACGGTAGGCTACATGGGTAAGAAATGACGCCACCTTTCTACAAATACACCAATAAAACCCTTGATGAGAGTTAAAACAGTTAGGTTTATGCAACCAAGTTGATATATTTTAGATCTAAGTGGAAACTAAGTTTAACAGCTAAATTAATGCAGTTTTTACTCAGCTATTTATTATTAAGATAATTTTGTTCATTTGATTTTGGAAAAACAAAATACAATTTGCTTGTGATTTGGTCTTAGATATTACTTGAATAAAATAAAATAAAAAAATTATAACGAGGTTAAACATAGCTTTTTTTCCCTGACAGCTACAGTTGCTATCTTCTGCTCATTAGCTACCAATTCAATTCAATTCAGTTTATTTCTATAGCGCCAATTCACAACACAAGTCATCTCAAGGCACTTTACAGTTCAACCAGATCATACAGTGAAATTGATTCAAAGTTGATTGCATTGACTCATTGACTCGAATGACTCAAAATTGTAGCGACAGTGGAGAGGAAAAGCTCCCTTTTAACAGGAAGAAACCTCCAGCAGAACCAGGCTCAGTTTAAGCGGCCATCTGCTGAGGCCGACTGGGGTTCAAGGAGACAGAAGCAGAGATACAAAAAGCAGCTGTAAAAGGCGATGTTAATGTTTATGCTTCACATAAACATCTACAATGGGAACCTTTTCAACCACAATTCTTAAAACAGTTTTGCAAAGTTTTTAAACATATTCATAATAAAAGCACTTATAATAAATGAGAATAGTACAAGTTATTAAAAGCAATTAAACATTAAACATTATTATTATTTCTTATGAACATATAGTGTAGAATTAATTCACAAAATAAATAAGCTAATGTTATTATGGTTTAAGTATCATCGATAATTATATTTACAGAGTAAGATTTAAATACACATAGATAACTCTTTACCGTCATTTTTAATAGGTTCTTTTTTTTCCAGCACCAGAGGTGATCAACAATGAAAAATATGCCATGAGTCCAGACTGGTGGGGGCTGGGTTGCCTCGTTTACGAGATGACCGCAGGAAGATCGCCCTTCCGTGCCCGGAAAGAGCGAGTAAAGCGTGACGAAGTGGAGAGAAGGGTGCAGGAGGAAGAGGAGGAGTACAACGACAAGTTTACAGAGGACACAAAGACGATCTGCAGATTGGTGAGACTGGATGGAAAGCTGAGTGGACAGACAGAAAGAGGTAAATAAATAATAAATAACCCGAGTGACTCATCTCTCGGCTTCTGCCCGACCAGCTGCTCACCAAAGACCCCAAGCAGAGGCTGGGGTGCAACGCGGACGGAGCAGCAGGCATCAAGGCTCACACGTTCTTCAAAAACATAAATTTCAAGCGAATGGAGGCTGGAATAGTAGATCCTCCCTTTGTGCCTGATGTGAGTGGTCGGTTATTTTGGTTTGTTTGGATCAGTGTTACACTTTCTGTTTAAATGAACGCTTCTGTTCATTTTCCCCTCAACCCTATCTGTCTCCTCCGGTCATTGCCCTCTCCCAGCCTCGGGCAGTGTACTGTAAGGATGTTTTGGACATAGAGCAGTTCTCCACTGTCAAGGGAGTAAATTTGGACCAAACTGACAATGACTTCTACTCCAAATTTGCTACAGGCAGTGTTCCCATCCCGTGGCAGAACGAGGTGAGCAAGAAATTCCTAAATGCTCCGCTCACTTTTCGATCAACCAGTGTTAACTTTACTTATTTTCTATTTCATCCTTTAGATGATTGAAACAGAGTGTTTCAGAGATCTGAATGTGTTTGGGCCTCAAGGAACAAGACCTCCAGATCTGGACTGGAATCAGCCGCCGGAGCCACCCAGACGCAGCCTGCTGGACAGGATCTTCAGGAGGCATGTAAGAAGATGCAAACACACACATACACTGATGATCCGGGGTGCTAAATAAAAATTAACCCATGCACCTCCCTCTATCTCCCTCTTTAATTCACAACAGCACCCAGATGTGTCCATCTCCAACAGCCGTGTGCAGTCTTCCAGTGTAAATTCTGTAGACTCCATGTCCAACTCTGCCCCCTAACGGCACAGTGACAGAGTTTGAGCTACTTAACCCGCAAACACTCACAAGAAGGGAAGGAGCTCGGAAGAGCTTTCCTGTTGCTGATTGGTCCGCAGCTGAAGGCCTGAGCAGCAGCTGGAGACAGCCTGTCTAAAAGCTTAAATGGTCGGCCCACGGGTAGGGAAGGGAGGGGAGGGCACAAGGGGGGTGGATTGACCGGGCCCTGAGATTCTGGGCATTAGTAGTAGGACACTCGATGTTGTGAAGATGTGTGGAAATATTCAGACAAACTTTACTTTCCCTCAGGATTGTTGGACTATAGAAAAGAGCCACTGTTGTTGTTCTTGTACCGGAAGAGGATAGATGACAAGCCGATATTCAGGGGATTCACTGTATAATAAAGACCACCACAGGGAATAGGGGAGGGGGGGCGGGGTCTGGGGTCAGTGAAATTTGTTTCTCCAAAAAAAGAGAGAATTTTTTTTTTTTTTCCTGTCATTTCAGTCATGTACTTTCTGGCCTATATCCTGTACCAACATCTCTCTCATCCACCCCCCACCTCCCCCTTTACGTGTCACCATCTGCACAACTCTTAACTTATTCCTTCTCCATATTTCACCTTTCATACCTCAGATCTCTCCTAAACATTCAGAGCATGTCACCATAGCAACCTCAGTAACACATTGTACATTGCCTTTGCGTTCACTCAGGCCAAAGATTGCAATTCTAGTTTTGTGATTCTGTTGTCATGTTCAACTGTTGGTTTTTGGAAGGCCTTTAGCTGTTGTGTAGAACTACAGAAGGATCAGAATGTGGGATCCATTTTAGAGTTTTCTTTAAATATGAACCTGCAGACATATCATAGAGCTTAAAGCACCCCCCCCCACACACACACACACACACACAGACACATAGCACAGTGCCTTCCAAAATTTTTCATACCTCTTGAACATCATAGTTTATCACGTTACAAACGTTTTTTTTATTCATTTAGAACTGAAAAATCTAAAAAGTGTGGCAAGCATTTGTATTCAGTCCATCAGTAAATACTTTGTGAAACCACCTTTTTTTTAAAACACTTTCTGACTCTTCCGACTATTAACAGAATAATACTTTTATTTTTGTTTTATAATCAGAACGCATCTATATGTTTTTGAATAGCTTTTTTTTTGCCAAAGATTTTTTATTGTATTAATGTCTTGACTTTAACTACGGTAGGCCATTCTCTCACATATCTGTTTTGATCTAAACCATTCCATCGTAGCTCTGGTTCTTTTTTAGGATCCCTGTCAAGTCCACTGTTTTCTTCCAGACCTGCTCTGTATTAAACTCCACTCATATTCTCGTTAACTCTGCCCTTGACAGTTCTGGGATAGGGGTTAAAGGGTAATGTGAAGAGATAGCCATAGCTGTCAACTCTCCCATTTTGGTCAGGAAGCCACTGTATTTTCCCCCTATTTCCTGCCGTTCTCCAATATTAGCAGTCTCCTGTATATTTCCCTTATTATAGTAAAAATTCTGTCTCCAAATGTAACTGTCGCTAGGATTGCAAAAGTCAAAATCGTATCACCTTATTGAAGTTTGAAATTGGTTGACAAGTGTTTATTTTAGATTTCTTGTACACATTTCTTAAAATATAATTGATACTGAAGCTTGACTGGGGTATTCTGACGGCTCAGAGCAGATGTTGAGAGCCATGAAATTTCCACGTTTTTACCTCCAAAACTTGACAGGTATGGTGATAACGGCTGCAAATTTCTTTGGACCATTCTGTTTAATGAAATTTTGTGTGGTAGTAGAGGTTTAGAGGGGCAGGATGGATGGAAAAGAAAGACGGGGATCTGAGTTGGAGCTAATAATGAGAATAATTAAATATAACAAGAATAATAATATAGATATAGAGTATATAGATATGTATAATCATTTTCCAAATGTAGTTATCTTAGAGTGTTATAAATTAACAGAAGAAGGTAAAGTGGTCAGATCTCTAGAAAGATTAAGGTCTAAATATGCATTTTTAGAGCTTAAGGTTCATGTTTTGTTTCATCTGCCCGTCAAAACTTAAAAATTTCCTGTAGAGATTGACCAATAAATGTTTTTTTAAGGTCCATGCTGATTATTTGACATCAGTCTGAACTATTGAATCCCAAAGTTGGGGTCGTGACCCCACTTGGGGCCCTCCATCAACCAGAGTGAGGTCTTGAAATCCATTAGAGAAATGTAACTTCACAATAAACATTTCTGTTAAAGTGCCTCAAGATTATAAAGAATCACTTAAAAACTAAAAAAAAAAACACTTAAAAAACTAAGTAAAAAACCACTTAAGTTGATGATGTTCTTTTTAATATTATTACAACCATGGTTCAATTTATTTTCTTGAAATGTTTATGTATTAATCTATTATCCTAGATCATGAGTGGACAGGTGTCATTTGATGGGTTAGAAGCTAAATAATGTTGGAAACATGAAACCTAACCGATCCTAATATGTGCTGCTGATAATTACGGGGTGTTTTTTAAGCCGATATGCCTTTTTCTTTCTTTATGTACATCATAAAAAAAAAATTACAATATGGTAACAAATCTTAAACCCACAAAAAACATCTATAAACTGATCAAACCCATTAAAAATTAATAGAACATGGGGGGAGCGGAGAGGCGTGTGATTCATGTAAAGTCAAGGCATAGCTGGTGAATGCGATAATGAATCAATGGTCTATTTTTAGTTCGCTGGTTCTCCTGAAGATCTTTTCCAAATCTCTAAATGGGCCCTCAGTCTGCTGATGGACAGCCTTGGATCTCTGCAGCTCCTCCAGACTTAGTTCCTTAGTATCCTGTTAGTTATTTTTAAGAGCATCTTCACAAGTTTGCATTTTCGCCACACTCTTCATGTTAAGTGGATGGATTGAGCAGTGTGGTTTACAAAGCTGGGATAATTTTACAATTTCAAACTGATTCACTTCTTTATTTGTTTTTTTGTTTTCAAATTTTTATCTAATAAACCTCAGAGGCCTTTACAAAACTTGCATTTAAACTGAGTTTACATTCAAAAAGATGGACTCTTTTTATCAATTACTGCATCTTATTAAGAGGTACCAGTGTAAAAAGGGGCTGAATACAAATGCGTGCCTTTTTTTTTTTTTTTGTTATTTGTAAAAGAAAAGTTGGAAACCACATTATCATTTTTCTCACACTTTTTAAAATCTATGTTATTTTGTGCTCTGTCACACAGAGCCCCAGATTCAAGTTTGTGATTGAAACATGAAACGAATGAATATTTTTGCAAGGCACTGTAGACAAACACACAAAGAATCGTGTTGTGTTTTCATTGCATGAACCCGTGTAAGTATGGACAGCTGTATCCCTTCGCTTCTGCATACCTCATTCCACTTACTCTGCACTCTTATACACAAATCCGTTTCCCTCGGTTTACAGTGTCACTTTATATTTGGCATTATGTGGAGTTTGAGAACTAATTAATATGCTGTACAGAAACAGATATCTCTTTTTTTTCCTTCCTTTTCTTTTTTGGGTAGTTATCTGCACAGTCCCCCATGGAGTGGAGAGGAACACATGCACTCAGCATGACTTACAAGTTGCACAATTTAAAATAATGTCATGCTGTTTTGTTACCAAATGAAAATGTTTTACCTCTGATCATTAAGGCACATTCTTGTATTGATATTGTCACATGCCGCTTGTTTTTTCTACACCCGAGACTGAAAAGTGTTCTTCTTGTTCTCCCTAGGCCTATTCCATGTAAACAATATTGCTGCATAACCATTGCTGTCTCATGTACAGTT